GGGTACGGGGGATTGCATTGAAAAATAAAATTTATTCAGAACTTGCTGCCTTTTTCTTCACACCTATATCAAGAGCTGAAGGCGGCATTTGACGCACATTTTGGGACAAGGAGGAAATATTTTCAGAGAGTATCAGAAAGTTTGTTTCCAAAGCAAACAAGTGTATTGAGGGTACGGGGGATTGCATTGGAAAAATAAAATTTATTCAGAACTTGCTGCTTTTTCCTTCACACCTATATCAAGAGCTGAAGGCGGCATTTGACGCACATTTTGGGACAAGGAGGAAATATTTTCAGAGAGTATCAGAAAGTTTGTTTCCAAAGCAAACAAGTGTATTGAGGGTACGGGGGATTACATTGGAAAAATAAAATTTATTCAGAACTTGCTGCTTTTTCCTTCACACCTATACCGAGAATACATTGAACACCCTTCGTACGTGTCATTTCGAAGTGAATAGCTAGTTGTTTACAATGGATCAAGCGTTAGCTTAGTCGGCCCTCCAGTATTTGCTGGTTGAGGCCTTTGTTTATTCCAAGTACATAGACCTGGAACAAAGGGTATGCTCCTATGGCGAGAGGCTCATATCGAAATTGGATATATGTTATTATTCCCGTGGAACATATTAAAAGCCATCTGTTTGGCATGGCAAACAATTACTAATATTGGTTTTAGGTGACATTCAAAGCTGCTTCGGCGGCAAGTTCCTTGATTTGATCTACGAGAACAGTGTGGAATCAGCTGATCAATTTAAGTGTCTATAGATTTCAACATTATCAATAAGTGCCCTGTCATGCAGTACCGGAAATTGCCTATTATATCCCAAGAGTCTGTGTTCTTTTCTTGATTATTCTCTATTCGTGCATAATCATCTGGCTGTGTGAAGGCAGTCAGTCACATTTTTCTTTTATCGAATCCTTCAGAAGAGTTTATACCATTACGTCGTCAGCTATTCGTTTTTTGAACCAAAGCCGTACGAGCTAGTCCTCCACTATCATATCTGGTCCAGTGATGAACAGAGCTTTCTCAGCAGCTTTATGAAAGCGTCTCGACTCGATGTCGCTGAGATTCTTTTTTATTGAAGCGATTCTCTCTGTATTTGTAAAGAGTGTTGCAGACCTCCAACTGCATCCTCTCTAATCTGAACCTTTTTGTACTTGCGATATCGAGATTTTCCTCAGTAATAATTCAACAGTTCGCTTCTAACGGATGTGCAAGTCAATTCTGGAATTCAACCCTTAGGCAAGTTGTCAGTAAATACATCTACAGAGGTTGAGGTGAAAAAAACCACTTTGTTTATCTCTTGTACCCCTTAAACGTTGAACGGAGTGACGTGTTAGAGGATACACCCTTGACATCTGCATAAGGCATTCGTTTTAGTCTTTTATCTTCAGGATCTTAGAACCGAAGTGCCAGGGCATTTGTCTTAGCCCATGTATCTTCGGGATCCTTGAGAATCAAAGTACGAGGAGATTTGTCTTAGTCATTTTACCTTCAGGATCCTTAGAACCGGTGTGCGTTGGGACTCACGGCCTTCGAGTGTCAAGGGTCAACTCAGGTGCCGTCGTGTGTGGCGGCTGTAGGTTAGTTCATGGAAAACAAAATGGACGCTAGTGTCCGTTCGCTTGTTCAAACAGCTGGGGCTTGGTTACTTCCACTCTCAAAGTAATACTCTACGAATTTGCCCGAAACTCTGCTCTGTAGGCCTGATTGAGCTCGGTGATGGGAGGCTTCACCTTTTCGTAAGGGAGTAGCTTGCTCCTGTTCAAAGAAGAACATTTAGAAAAAATTCATGTTATGAGTCTTAATGCCACCTTGCCACCTTCGGGACATTTGATAATGTGCTCCATACGTGGTGCATCATCAGGATGGTGAAATGGCGGTGTCAGTGCGACTCATTGGCCTCCTGGAAGGCTCTCAAAGTGAGCAGGAGGTCTTTTCTGCCTGCTTCTTCACCTGAATGCCAGAATGTAGTTGCTCTCCGCATTCATCCTCGTCTAAGTAGCTCGGCATAGTAATCTCGTTTAGAATGGCAAGATGGCTTTATATCGCTGGCATAATTTCGCAATATCACTGACAGGTTGGCTAAGTAGGTTCAGGTCAAGATTTTTACTCTGCGCGATAAAATTTGTGCGAGTAAGCTCTGGAATGGACCAACTAGGTATTTCATCTCTCCGTTACTGGCTTATTGCTTGTAGTCCTCCCTGAGAGAGCGGAAACTGAACTTGTTCGGGGAGACCCTTTTGGGACCTGTCTAGGCCTCTACCTCTAGGCCTCTTGATGAAATGTGGATACCCGGTTTTGTCATTCCTTGTGGGGGTGAGCAAACCTTCTGACCATCCTTTTTGAAAACTTCTCGTACGTTATGCCGTTGATAAGTTCTGACCCAACTTGGTCCCGGTTTTGGCTTGAACATCCTTCGTAAATCTTCGTTCACTATAGTTTCATTTGCACACAAATTGTTCTACCCCTGTTTCGCCCTGTACATTGTTAGTTTTAAATGATGGGTATGTAAGCCAAATGCGTATTTTACTTGCATGTTGTGATACAGATACAAAATTGCTATTACTTGTTATAATAAAGTGTCAATTATGATGCCAATTAGTAACCTGCTTGAAGTGAAATTAAGTTGCCTCCTTAAAATCTTTTAGACTCGCTGAAGTTTTCTTTGTTTTGTTTAGTTCACTTTGGTTTCCTTCTTTTTTTCAGTCGCATAGTTCCTAACATTGTTTGAAGTTAACCAGTATGTAATCCAATGCATGTAACCGTTATGCACTGTCATAAATCTTGCCTGATTTTCTGCTTATTGTGTTGTGAAAGGTTCGATGTACAGTTACTGCTAGTTTGTGGCACTTTGTTATGAGCAGTTGTCAAAGTTATTGAATGACTACCGCTGGAAAAGTAATGGGTAATGCTCAACCCATTTTATCACAGCAGACTCTGCATGAGACGAATTACACCTTGGTTCGCTCATTGATAGCGCAACAACGCGTCCTCAAAGGCTTTGTAAAAGAAACTTAGCCGAAATGTGCTGTTTATTCAGTGAACTAACAACAAAACGTGGCTCGAATGTCACTCCAAATGAGTTTGCAAGCCCTGTCCATGGTTTTCGGATCTTATGAGATAGTGTAGGATGAAGCTGCGTTCATACACTGGGGCAGCATCCAGCAGCGATCACCATCGTTTCGAGCGTCCGTCAGTGCCAATGACTCGGAATGTACATATAGATATCGGTCTAGGAATCGACAGCGTCCATCAGCAATGGGAAACTATGGATATTGATCTGTCGAACACTGGCGTCTAGCAGCATCCACCAGCGACCAGGGAAGTATGGATATCGATCTAGCGAGCAGCAGCGTCGAGGAGTGGAGAGTATGGGGATGTGGGAGAGTGGCAGACTGCTGGCAGAGTATGAGGATGTAGGAGGAAGAGACAGCTGGACCAGCGGCGTGAAATTGTGACCTGTACATCCGCACCCTGTAACTGCTGGAGCATAGACTTATGCAATTTAATGTACGGTGTCGTGTAGTAGTACAGTACGTGCACTCGCCGTGATTCGCGACGCCTAATCCAGCTGCCTATTCCGTCCTACTTCCCATCTAGCAGTAGTCACAGTCGCACATACCCGCACTCTCCACTGCTGGATGCTGGTGGAGCTGGTGAGATCGACACACATGCTTTCGTAGTCGCTGGCGGGCGCTAGATCTTTGTCCATACTTCCCTTGCCGCTGGCTGTGACGGACGTTTAGAACGCTGATGTCCTTTGTCGACGCAATGTATGAACGCAGCCTAAGAGACGGTGAAACTGAGCTAGCCATGGAGTTGAATTCGTTTTGTCCATCCATGCAACATTTATCTTAAGCAGTACCGCGGTGTACACAGCTTTTTGAGAACTTCTTGGATAAAAAATGCTCTGAAAGACTTCGTTGCGGGACCTGCTACCGTACTCCCGGCGCATTATAAGGCATTCCATGCTGGCCTTATTTCGAGTGCGAATTCTTCTGGATTCGGGGAAGTTGATAAACATTTATTCATAGATTATAAAGATGAAGGTTATTAACACATTGCGGACCGCCACACTGCGCACATCTCCGAATCAATTCATAATTTTTCGCCAGTAATTCATCGGAAATTTCCTGCCTCTTTTATAAAACACCGCATAGAGACGAATTTTTGGGACACCATGTGTGTCACGCGGTCCGGAACGTGTTAAATTGGACAAAATGTTTTGCGTTTTTAGATTTTACTGCTGTTTATATGTACGTGCACACCAATTTTCTACGAGACCAGCCAAGGAAGTTTTATGTGGGCATTTCATCAGAAGTTTGAGCTTGTTCACGATATGCAGGAGGAAATACTGAATGCTTCCGAAACCGCAGACAATTCTTCAACTTGATAATTTTTGATTGCTCCAGTCAAAGGTGAAGATACAGTCCTAAGGCTAGGATTCGTACTCAGTTTGCTTCAGGTCGAGCAGTTTCTGGCTTGTTGCTTAGTAAGGAAATCTAGATTAACTCCTGAAAAAAGGACATGAATATACGGACACACCACCGTTTATATCACGAGAAATCAGAGCAGAAATCGTAAAATATTCGCATGTTGAAAGCATCTACTGCTATCTCCTTGTCAGCCTCTGCTTAATGAAATACCGATCAAGACTGCTTAATGAAATACCGATCAAGATCATATGTACTTTTGATCAAAATTGATCTTAAACCATTTCAAAAGTTCCTTTCCCTGTAGCATGTAGGAACGATATGCTAACTTGTCAGACATATGCAACTGAACCCTACAAAAAGGCAGAAAGACTGTTTTGATCCCTATCATAATCCTCTCTTTGACAAATGTCTACCTTCCCTTCTCTCTGAATCCAAAAGCAAGCCCATGTAAATTTAGGCCAGTTTGGAATGCCCGCAATGTGCCACAAGAGTACGGTAGCTGGTCCTGCAACGAAGCTAAGTACTGTAGTTTTTCGAAAAATTCCGGTCCTACACTTAGTGGCTTATGTATTGGCACGGCACCGGCCGTCAATTTTCGGGACTCAGGTGTTCAATGAATGATGGATAATAGATAAGAACTTTGCCGTGCTGAACGCTTCGGCTGGCTTTGGTGATATACCCTTTATTACAGCATCTCAGGGATTTCGATGTTACCATATCAGGTTGTACCATGATTCTCAACCGAATATTGTCAATAAAGTGAGATCCACATGGTTCTGATGCAAGTCGGATTAATGCCGTATATGTGTGACATGTTGCGGAGTGCTGCGAGGGCACGTTGCATGACAGGGATCCCCGACGATTCGGTCGTTGGATAATATAGTCGTACAGTCTTATTTGCTTCAGAAAATGTTCTCGGTTGCTGAGTTTTCACGTTATACCCTTGCTTTCTTGGGAAGAGAAGGAGGGCGTTGGGGGAAAGTTCAGGAGGTAGGATGGGGGACGAAGGAAGGGAGGGGTCGTAATAGAGGAACGTTTGAGAGCAGGGCCTTGGCTCATGCTGCGCAAAAGGTACGCGAACTCGGTCACAGAAGAGAACTTAATCGATGGGTCCCTCACCTACCTGTGCCAGCGAGGCACAGATAGAAGCGAACCCAAGACCATCCACAAGGGAAATTGCTGAAGAGCTGGGAGTTGACTTCGGAACTGTAGCACGTCATTTGAAGAAAATTGGGAAGGAAAAAACTTGACAAGTGGATCCCGCATGAGTTGACTGAG